TGACGTTTAATGTGACCAAACCTTTAAAGGACTCTCCCTAATCTAGACTAATTTTATCCCTACATCAACCCTATCACATATATATTCATTTCGCATTTTGTCGCTAAGTGTAAAGCCACCTATCCAACTAATCATTCTCATCTCGGCAACACTTAACTTAGTTTTATGCTTCTCTTTTAAAGGCCAACATTCAACGTCATAGAGCATTGCAGGTCTCACCACCATCTTAAAAAATTTTCCTTTCAGTCTATGCGATACCTTTCTACACACCATAGGCCCGAAGCATTCTTCCACTTCAACCAACCAACTTGAATTCTACTAATAACATCCCCATCAATATCACCATCACTTTTAACAATAGTCCCGAGAAAACTAAAGCGTTCACACCTTTTAATAATTTGATCACCCACAGCTACATTTTTGTCATTAGAGCTACTACTACTAAAATTACATTCCATGTATTAAGTTTTAGTTCTACTCAAACGAAAACCTTTAGACTCCAAGGTAGAACTCTATAATTCAAGTTTTTTCCTGAGCAATGCAAATGATATGAAGTTTGAACCAATAAAACAAGTGTCTTAAAAAGACAAAGATAATTTAAATAGAATAAGAATAAAATTTGCATAAACATGATTACAATTAAAAAAATTTACAAGAGAATCAATACCCAACAATAATGAAACAGAGAAGATTCATAAATCTACCCAAAAAATAGGGACAAGTCCTACAACAATGATTACACAGTGGAAGTGTAGCAGAAAGAAACATGACTGTCATGACCTCATAGTGAACAACAACAGTTTCATTTATGATGCAAAAATGATGCAATAAAAGGAAAAAAAAATGAAGAAAACAGACTTTTCTTGTAGAAAGATCCATAGTCTATAACCAAAACACAAGATACCACAACAACATTGAGATTCTTAAATAAATCATACATTAATGACACGTGATAATTAAAAGTGTTTGTCAATCAAAATAAAGAAAGAAAAGATAATTTCTAATCAAAAAGACTGAAACCCATATCTTCATCACTTTCTTCCTTGGGCTCCTCCTGCAGATTAAAACAAAAATCCAATAGAATAGTAAGCATCCTGCAGGGCCTAGTATTAAAACTGTTACAGATAATATCAGGAAACAAAACACAACAAACACCTTCTTCTCCTCTACCGCAGGGGCAGCATCTTGTACTGCACCGCCCCCACCACCAGCTGCTGGAGCCGCCGCAGCCACAGAGGCACCCCCACCGCCTAAAAATCAATAAAAAAGCAAATCAACTATATTAGGTGATCCTTTTCAAAGGAAAAAGAAAAAAAATAACATCGCTAGATTGCAAAGAAAATCAAATGAAACATAACAATAGTGAATCGAACCGGATCCAACGTTAAGAATTAGATCATCAACATTTTTCTTCTCGAGAAGCTTTGCAATCAAAGTGGCCCAGAAAGATTCGACCGAGATATTCGCAGATTTTAACAGCGTAGAGATCTTCTCCGCCTGATTAACACAATAGAATCAGAGAAAGGGAAGAACTAGAAAGTATTTTTTTTTCCTGACTAAGGCGAACGAGGGGGAATACCGTGATGGGTATACCATCATCGTAGAGAATCAGAGCAGCGAGGCTGCAAGCGTGCTCTCCAATCGACATTCCGGACAAGAGAGGAAACAAATACGAAGAAGAAGCAAAAGAAGCGGAGGTTCCTGTCCTAGGGCGGAAAGGGATGCAGAAAATGAAGAACAACGGCGAAGGCGGAGGTTCCCTAGGGCGAAAAGCAAAGCGATACTTTTTATAGGGATACTCTATCGGATGAAAAGCTGACTTATTTCACACAGAGCACCTAATTTTAGGAATTTACATATGAAACATAATTTTTACATTTATCTCTTTCTCGATCAAATCTTTTCTTTAACATGAGAAATATCAATATTTTAACTTAAAAAAAACAAAAATTTATTTTTTCATCCATATGTAAACTGTAATAAATGTTAAATAATTTTGGTATTAGATAAGTAAATGGAATTGAGTGGTACTTAAATAATCATCCAAAATAAATTTAAAAGTATTGTTCAATATATATATATATATATATATAAGTAGCTTTATATAAAAAGAGAATGTCGGTCACTGATGGCTTTGCTAAGGTTTTGTCGCCCGTTGGCATACTCCCTTAATCTCGATCGCGTCTTTAGGGTTCGCTATAAGAAATTTGCTCAGCTCATTTGCTGAAGTGGCCACGGGGAAATTGGCGAGTGTTGCCTCTTCTCGTACTCTAGTTTTTCCTCAATCCTTTCATGATGTTTTGATAGTTTTGGGTGAGGCTTCTTTGGTTAAAAAGTCCGATAAAAAAATGATAAACATGCTTTATTTCTTTCTGATGTGGAATGTGCCTCCTTACCGACTTCTTGTCGATTGGCTTTAGCGGGCAAGTTCTTGCACGGTCATTCTAAACTTAAGCCAACTCGTCGGGATTTTGAGAATTTCAAGCTGAAAGGGGAATTGAAAATTGGATTGCTTGATGGTCACCATATTTTAATTCAACTCTCTAACGAAGAGGATTATATTTAGCTTTTCGCTAGGAAAATTATGTGAATTGACAATAGGGTGATGAAGATTCTTAAGTAGTCTGTTGATTTTGAACGGAGCCTCCAATTGTTCCTATTTGAATTAAATTTTCGGGATTAAAGCTACACCTCTATAATCACCAAGTCATTTTCTAATTGGCTGCCATCTTTGGGAGAACCCTTAAGATGGACTCCCCTACCATTTCTATCATTAGACCTGCTGTGGCTAGGGTCTTAGTAAAATAATATATTACTCAATCTTTTTCTGAGGAAATTTGGATAAGTTCTTCCCATAATATGCATTGGCATAAAGCGAGTTTAAAGCAACATCCTCCATTCTATTCCAATTGTAGAATTTTTCGCCACTCTGATTCCCAATGTTCTCACCTACACTCGGAATTGAAAGTAAGTGAGACTAAAAGGGATGATATTTTTGCCTCCAAGGGTGCCAAAGCTTCCCCTCCCAATGTGGTGGTGGATGCTGAGGATGTTGATATTATTGGTGTGGTTGTTGATAATAGGGGTGCCTCTTTTGACAAGGCTATGAAAAACTGTAGGGATGATGGCCTAGTTAAGCCTGTGGCTATGTTTCAGATTGGTGAAGGGAGTAACACAAATAAAAATGAACCTCATGCACTTTAAGGGGCTCTCTCAAACCTTGAGGATGAATGGATGGTTTAAAAATCTAAAAGGAAAAAAAAAGAGTTAATGAACTATTGCACCTTAGTGAGGAAAACTTAATTAATACAGAACATGGTTCCTGTTCTGATGGAGCTTCACAACATACCATCACTAAAGGTTCTAGGAGAGGGAATTTGCTACAACATGTTTAACATCCTTGTCTGGAATATTAGGGAATTCGCTGAGCCTCTCTCCCTCATAATTTTTTTGGTTTTTTGGAACCTTTAGTGACTGCTAATATTAAAAAGGTTCTTTGGAAATTTAAACATTTTCACTTTTATAGGAATTCTACAAATAAAATTTGGTTGTTTTGGAAAAGATATTACTTTAAACTTGAATGCTGACGATCCTCAATTTTTGCTCACTTATTTTGAAAAAGAGGATTTCAAGGGTTGAGCCTCAATGATTTTGTGTATGCAAGTACTTTACATCATGCAAGGTTAGACTTATGGGAAAAAATTATGGCTTTGGGTGGTCTTGCTAAGGAAAGTTGTTTTGTTGGGGGAGATTTCAACATGATTATGAAAAATTCAAGAAAGAGTAGAGGTAGAGTGGTTGATCCTTACCTTATTGCAAAGTTTTGTGACATGGCTTTGGAGGCTAACTTCTTTGATTCAAATTTTATTGGCCTTAATTTACTTGGAATAGATGGATTCTTTTGTTAAACAGGATTGTCTAAATACATATAATGTTCTGAAAGTTTATCATTTTAATTAATCTGGCTCTAATCATAAACCTCTTTCGCTATCTATTGATTTCTTCACTAAATCATTTGTTTATCATTTCAGATATCTTAACATTTGGTCTTCTTATCCTTCTTTTCTTGATACTATTAAAGATGTTTGGAATCCCTCTACCATTGGAGGTAGCCATTGGTTCATCCTTTTGAAATTGCAAAAAAGAGTGGCTTCTTGCTTAAAGAAATGGAACTGGGAGTCTTTCGGTGATGTTCATAAGAAAGTGCTTGAAGCTAAGTTGAAAGTAAATGAGCTTGAAGCTAGAGATTTCACTACTAATAACACTGTTGAAGAACTTACAATTACACATAAAGCACTTCTTTTTGCTATCAAGCAAGAAGAGAACTTTCTCCTCCAAAAAGCTAGTATTACTTTGCTGAGGGTGACAGAAACACTAGGTATTTTCATGCTACAATCAAGCATAGAAGGAACATAAATACTATCATAAGAGTGAAGGATGATAATGGGGGATGGATTACTGATATTAATGATATTGAAAATAATATTGTGGATTATTTCTCTAAAATCTTTACTGGTTGACAGGTATCTAACATGGAGGACGATTTATTCAATGATGACAAAGGGTATATGGAAGGTCTCAATCTTTGCTATGTCCCTATGGAAGAAGAAATCCTTAGGGCTCTTAAAGAAGTCAATGATAATAAGGTTGCTGGCCCAAATGGATTCACAACTGACTTTTATTTGAAAAGTTGGGATATTATCAAGGTGGAGGTAATCAAAGCTATTGAAAGTTCCTTTCTTGTGGAGGATCTTGGTAGCTGTTTTTATGTCTTCTATCATTGTGCGTGTTCTTAAAAGCAAAGAAAAAAATCACTTAGGACCAATTTAGACCTAATTATTTAACTTCTATTATTTCAAAAATTATCAGCAAAGTTTTAGTGAAAAGGTTACATCCCCCTCATCCTCACATTATATCTCCTCATCAATCAATTTTCATTAAAGATAGGGATATCACTGACAATATTCTCTTAGCCCAGGAAGTAGTTGAAGATCTTGATAAAAAATGCCGAGGAGGGAGTATTATTGTGAAATTAGATATTAAAAAGGCATATGACATTGTTAGTTGGGATTTCATTATTTAAATTCTGAAAGCTAAAGGTTTGAATAACTCTTTCTGCTTACTTATAAGTAGATGGTCAAAATATAATAATTACAGTATATTGATTAATGAAACTTCCTTTGGTTTCTTTTCTGCTAAGAGGGGTATTAAACAAGTTGATCCCCTATCCCTTACTATATTTATTATGACATTTGACTACTTTTCCAAGTTATTGAACAAGGTACAAACTTCTAATCCAAAAATGGCTTATTCTCACAAAGCTAAAAAGATAGTTAGCCATATAGCTTATGCCAATGATGCAATTTTCTTTTCTAATGCTACCAAGTGAGTTGTTTCTCTATTCTATGACACTCTGGGAAAATTCCAAAAGGTCATTGATTTGGGATTTAATAAGAAGAAGTGTTGTATTATCTTAGGGAAGAATGTGAAGGAAGACATGGCTAGGTGGATTATTGATTTCACTGGTTATGTAATCTCTTCTCTTCCTATCAAATACCTTGGTGTTCATCTCCTGAGAGGAAGAATGAAATAATCACAAATGAATTCTATGGTCAAGAAAGTGGAAAATAAAATCCTATATTGGAGGAATAACTTTCTTTCATTTGGTGGCAGAATTACTTTGATAAGAAGTGTGTTAAATGCTCTACCTCTTTATGATTTACAGGTTCTTAAACTCAAAGCTAGCACTCAAGTTATGTTTGAAAATGCTTTAACAAATTTCTTTCTATAGGGCACTCTTCTAGAAGGATTTGGGTCAACTAGAAAAAGGTATGCAAGCCTTTGTTTGTTGGTGGTTCAGGACTTAAAGAGCTCCAAAATATTGTTAATATCAACTTCATTAAGTCATGGTTCAAATTTAGAAGAGGGGGCTCTTTATGGTGTGATTTCATGATGGAAAAGTACTATTTTTTCTCTCATCCAGCTTATATATCTTGGAAATCTAGGGATTCTAAAATGTGGAAGGCTCTGATTGGTCACTGCTGTCAATTATATTTATTGGGATATTGAGAAAAGGAAAAGTGACCTTTTAGAAGGACAATTGAACTGATTCTGTACTGAGTAGCCTGGCTGGTTGGGAGACACATGGGTTGGCATTGTTTTCTAACTTTTGGAAAAAGGTGTCGTGGAATTTTGACCTCCTTAGGGAGGTAATGGGCTAGACTGCTGAGGTTATAACCAAGATCCCAGTAAACATTGATAAAGATGACTCTTTCTTAATCAAATTCCAAATCACATCTCTTTCTAAATCTATTTATGTTGATTTATACCACTTTGATAAATTGGATTGGCCAATTAACTTATGGGGCAAAGACTTATCCAATTTTATGAGCTTTTTGTGTGGAGACACATCATAAGCTTCTGCCTTATGATGATATTCTGAAAATAAAAGGTCTACGAGGTGCTTCATAGTGCTATATGTGTAGGAAGGAGGAACAAATGTTAAATGACTTATATTTCAAATGTTCTGTCTCTATGCATGTTTGGGAATTTTTTAGGGATTTTTTCCTTAGGAAAATTTCTTCTTCTTGGGGCAATGTGGTGGAATGCTCTTCTTACTGGGCTGATGGTGTCGATATGAAACACATTTTGCCATATTTCCCATATATAGTTATGTGGTTTGTATGGATGGCTTGAAATGCTTGTAAGCATAAGGGTGAGCATTTTAAATCTCAGGTAGTCATTGCCAATATTCTAGCCTGCCTATCTAAAATTGTT